ACTGCTACTCTTTATTATTTAAGTTAATGACATATTTCTTGAATTCTCATAAAGATATCGAAATTTTGAAAATTTTAGTAAACTGTTAGTCAATAAATTAAATATTAATAAGGAAAAAATATCTTTAAAATTTGGTACTAACTTTAAGCATGGTGACTCAAATTATGTTAATCTTTATATAATACTTGATAGCTGTCTAAAGTGGTATGTTAAGTTCCTAAGTGTTTCCAAGTGTTTGTAAGTGTTTGTAAGTGTTTGTAAGTGTTTGTAAGTGTTTGTAAGTGTTTGTAAGTGTTTGTAAGTGTTTGTAAGTGTTTGTAAGTATTTGTAAGTGTTTGTAAGTGTTTGTAAGTGTTTGTAAGTGTTTGTAAGTGTTTGTAAGTGTTTGTAAGTGTTTGTAAGTGTTTGTAAGTGTTTGTAAGTGTTTGTAAGTGTTTGTAAGTGTTTGTAAGTGTTTGTAAGTGTTTGTAAGTGTTTGTAAGTGTTTGTAAGTGTTTGTAAGTGTTTGTAAGTGTTTCTAAGTGTTTCTTAGTGTTTCTAAGTGTTTCTAAGCATTTCTAAGTATTTCTAAGTATTTCTAAGTATTTCTAAGTATTTCTAAGTATTTCTAAGTATTTCTAATTATTTCTAAGTATTCCTAAGTATTCCTAAGTATTCCTAAGTATTTCTAAGTATTCCTAAGTATTCCTAAGTATTCCTAAGTATTCCTAAGTATTCCTAAGTATTCCTAAGTATTCCTAAGTATTCCTAAGTATTCCTAAGTATTCCTAAGTATTCCTAAGTATTCCTAAGTATTCCTAAGTATTCCTAAGTATTCCTAAGTATTCCTAAGTATTCCTAAGTATTCCTAAGTATTCCTAAGTATTCCTAAGTATTCCCAAGTATTCCTAAGTATTCCTAAGTATTCCTAAGTATTCCTAAGTATTCCTAAGTATTCCTAAGTATTCCTAAGTATTCCTAAGTATTCCTAAGTATTCCTAAGTATTCCTAGTATTCCTAAGTATTCCTAAGTATTCCTAAGTATTCCTAAGTATTCCTAAGTATTCCTAAGTATTCCTAAGTATTCTAAGTATTCCTAAGTATTCCTAAGTATTCCTAAGTATTCCTAAGTATTCCCTAAGTATTCCTAAGTATTCCTAAGTATTCCTAAGTATTCCTAAGTATTCCTAAGTATTCCTAAGTATTCCTAAGTATTCCTAAGTATTCCTAAGTATTCCTAAGTATTCCTAAGTATTCCTAAGTATTCCTAAGTATTCCTAAGTATTCCTAAGTATTCCTAAGTATTTCCTAAGTATTCCTAAGTATTCCTAAGTATTCCTAAGTATTCCTAAGTATTCCTAAGTATTCCTAAGTATTCCTAAGTATTCCTAAGTATTCCTAAGTATTCCTAAGTATTCCTAAGTATTCCTAAGTATTCCTAAGTATTCCTAAGTATTCCTAAGTATTCCTAAGTATTCCTAAGTATTCCTAAGTATTCCTAAGTATTCCTAAGTATTCCTAAGTATTCCTAAGTATTCCTAAGTATTCCTAAGTATTCCTAAGTATTCCTAAGTATTCCTAAGTATTCCTAAGTATTCCTAAGTATTCCTAAGTATTCCTAAGTATTCCTAAGTATTCCTAAGTATTCCTAAGTATTCCTAAGTATTCCTAAGTATTCCTAAGTATTCCTAAGTATTCCTAAGTATTCCTAAGTATTCCTAAGTATTCCTAAGTATTCCTAAGTATTCCTAAGTATTCCTAAGTATTCCTAAGTATTCCTAAGTATTCCTAAGTATTCCTAAGTATTTCTAAGTATTCCTAAGTATTCCTAAGTATTCCTATGTATTCCTAAGTATTCCTTAGTATTCCTAAGTATTCCTAAGTATTCCTAAGTATTCCTAAGTATTCCTAAGTATTCCTAAGTATTCCTAAGTATTCCTAAGTATTCCTAAGTATTCCTAAGTATTCCTAAGTATTCCTAAGTATTCCTAAGTATTCCTAAGTATTCCTAAGTATTCCAAAGTATTCCTAAATATTCTTAGGTATTCCTAAGTATTCCTTAGTATTTTTAAAAATTCATAAGTATTCCCACTCAAAAATATAAAAGAAAGTGACAACAATGTCATTGTTTTGATGGCTTGATACTTCTTATTTCACAATTACCTAAGTTATGGTTTAATACTGTGTGGAAATGCATCCCATACGAATCTTTTAAAAAAATGCCATACGGGTCATAACTGGGGGCCTCTTTAGAGACTATTGTCAATCTTTATATCATATTCTGAAAATCTTACCACTTTCCTTTTTAAAATTTATGCTATCGAACGCTTTTCAATACGTTTTGCACAAACGCTTATAAAAAAACAGAAAGATAGCATTAGCGCGAGCTGGAAGCGAATAATCTCAGCGTTGCTAGTTATTACCAACGTTACAACGCGGTCGGGCCATATCAACTATTTTAATCTTTTTTAAAAAGGCTCCATCTTCAGGAAAAAACTAATATATTTTCTTTTTGTTACAGTCAGTCGTTTCAAAATTGCTTTGGATAAGGCATAATGGTGTTAATGATGCGACAGACATCGCAAAAATGCGACCAAGATGAAAAAATATGGGTACAAGTCGTAGCAATTATCATAGGTAATTATTTTCTATTAACAAACATTTTTAATTATAGATATCCCTGCCGTAAGGTTTTTTTTAACTAATTTACTAGATATATTTTGATAGGTAGATATTAGTTAAGATGTTAATGGCTTTAAATTTGAGTTAGGCTCCCTTTAACCTTTATATTTTTTAAAAGGTAGATATTAGTTAAGATGTTGATAGTTATAAAATTGAGTTAGGCTCACTTAAACCTTTATATTTTTTGAAAGGTAGACATTAGTTAAGATGCTGATGGCTTTGAATTTGAGTTAGGCTCACTTAAACCTTTATATTTTTAAAAAGTAGGTACTAGAAAAGATATTGATGGTTATAAATTTGAGTTAGGCTTACTTGAACCTTTATCTTTTAAAATAGCAAGCCATTGATAACAATCAGATACATGTTATTCTATTTAGTCATGTTAAAGTCATTGTTTACGCTAGCAATGTTAGATGAAGATGAAGCAGTCTTAGAAGAAGATAACTAACACCTCTGTTTGCTTATTGAGGTTCCTATTAAAATTAAACTTAAGTTTACAATGTAGACCAAAGCATGAACAATATAATCATAAAAATTAGATATTCAAACTCATACAATACACTATTTAATATTAATTGAACTTTTTTTAATGCTGTAAGCAGTGTTGATGAAAGTGTTCAACTATTGAACAATAAATGATTTATTACTTTGAATCAGCACATGCTAGTCAAAAAAAAACGTCATCTTAGGACCTATCCTCCTTAATTAAATGGTCATATATTACGAATATATCGTCAAAAAGTTAAAAATTGACAAACCTACAAATTTTCTTATCCATAGATTTATTTACTAATTTTGGGACTCTTCGAGACCAAATTAAACAAGAAATTTCTATAGTTTACCTCATATTCCTCATATTTAAAAATCTAAAACAATTCAAAATTATTTTTCTTAAAAATGAAAATGTTCTATTCAATATTAATATTTTGATTTCAGCGTGCCTCTCAGCAATAACCTACGGCCTGATCCTAGCTTGGACATCACCATTTATCGTAAAAATCACCAACGATAAAATTAACTACGACATCACTCCAGATCAAGCTTCATTGCTGACGTACATCCCCCCCATAGCCATGGTAATATCCTGCATATTCTTCTCTAAGCTCAGCGATAAAATTGGTAGAAAAAAAACTTTGATGCTCATATCAATTCCACATTGCATCAGCTGGATTTGCACCATAGTTTCAAAGAATTTGTACGTTCTATACGCAGCGAGGCTCTTCGGAGGCACAGCTGATGGATGTTTGCTAGTAACACTGCCTGTGTACATAGGAGAAATATCTGTACCGAAAGTTAGAGGTGTTTGGGGGAATTTAGTAGCAGTTTGTACGTTTTTTGGAATTTTTTTGATTAATGTAGTAGGATCACAATGTTCTGTAGAAGTGACTGCTTATATCTTCCTTCCTATACCGATAATCTTCATATTATCGATGCATTTCTTACCTGAGTCTCCTTATTGGTATATCATGCATGAAAGAGATGAAGATGCAAAGAAATCTTTAAGATCTTTTCGAGGTATACAAGATGTTGATAATATTTTTATTAAATTAAAAGAAGATATTGACAAGCAAATGAAAGAGGCTGGAACTTGGACAGATCTAGTAACAATACCAACGAATCGTCGTGGATTAATAGCAGGAATATTTTTAAGGGTATCGCAACTATTTGGAGGTGTTGGAGCGTTAATGACGTACACTCAGTACGTTTTTGCTAGCTTGAAGATCGATATACCATCAGAAATCCCCACGATAGTGTTTAGTGGTGTGTGTTTTGTGCTCCTATTAGTAACAGGATATTTCATAGAACGCGTTGGGAAGAAGAAGTGCTTTATTATAACCAGTTTTTTAAATGCTATAATACTTCTGTTAGAAGCAATCTATTTCTATTACGAATTAGAGGTACCAGAAGTAGATCTAAGCAAATTAAATTGGTTTCCAATTGCAGGTATGGTTCTTTACGCCGTATTTTGCTCGTTTGGTAGCATTCCTATACCAAATGTTATGTTGGGAGAGCTATTCTCCACTAGTATCAAAGCAAAAGGTGTAACTGCTTTGATTATAACGTTTGGATTAGCTTTTTCTGTTTCAAATTTTATATTTTATACATTGAATACCAAAGTGGGGATGTATGGACCATTCCTGTTCTTCGGGATATCTAATTTGATATCAAGTGTTGTAGCTTTTTATTTGTTACCAGAAACGGCTGGTAAGACTTTGGAAGAAATTCAAATGATTTTGAAATAGGAGCTGATTTAATGATAGAAGCTCTGAAACAAATACGTGGTAATTTTGAGAAGAATATTTGATTGAATTTTGACAATCTATCTCAATTTTATAAATAGGATAATTAATTCATACTATCTGCTCCTGGCTTTTAAAAAATAGTTAGTTACTCCATTTTTGTAAATAATCTAACGTTTACGGCAAGAACTATTAATAAAAATATTTATCATCGTCATCTGAAGCTAAAAAATCAATCTTAGGAGCAGGGGTTCCGGCACTTGGGCCTGGGAACTTTTTTACTGCGCATTGCGCGGCCATAGCCACGAAGTTGGCTAACCTACATGTGTCATCTGTCAATGTGTCATCTGTCAATTCTTCTTCTTTTTTTTATTAGTTGTCAATTCTTCTTCTTTTCGCTGTCAGTTTTTGTTGGCTGTGGAACGCGGGAGAAAAAGGCCATCGGCTGCGGCGGCGGCGCCCTCTGGCGGTTGGATTAGAATTTGTCATCTGTCAGGTGTCTGTCATCATCTGTCAGCTGTCCGTGTGTGTGTCATACGGTCGATCCGTCAACTGCCCCGATGAGGATTTCGCCAATGAGCGGCGAACATAACCCCCAGTTTAAACGGTCGTTAGACAGCTGCCCGTGGCCCCGGGGCCCGCCACGAGGCGCGCGCCACGCGGAGTCGCACCGATGAACATAACCCCACTTTTAACGGTCGATCCGTCAATTGCCCCGATGAGGATTTCCGCCGCCGAGGTGAACATAACCCCCGCTTTGAACGATCGGCTGCCCGGGGGCCCGCCACGCGGAGACGCGCCGATGAACATGTTTTTGACGTTTGACGTTTACCGTTTGACGGTTAACGTTTGACGTTTCTGCTAGTATCAAGCGTCAAGGTTAACAGCTCAGATCTCCGAGAGGAGGCGAATCCTACACCCGACAATATTTTTTTAAAGTAAAATAAGTATCCCATGTTAAATCCCATAAGAAATCGCTAAGGTTCATTCTGGCAATTTTTGTCTAAAAGTCCAAAGGTCAATCGAAGTTCGAAGTCTGGGTTATCAGTAAACATGATAACGTCGAAAATCCAAGATGGCGGCAATAGTTGACGTAAACAATGAAAAATATACGAGGTAAATGAAAAGTCAGAAGGGCCTTAGCGTATATCTCAGCTATCGTTGGTCCGATTTAAACGGGAAAAATGATATTACGTAGAGAATGATGAACGTTGAATATAAAAAATCATGCGCAATGCCACAAGGGCCTTAGCGTGTATCTTCACTGCTATTGGTCCGATTTAAACGGGAAAAACGACATTATGAAAAGAACGATTAACGTAGAAGAGAAAAATATTGTGCAATGTCAAAAGGGCCTTAGCACGTATATTCACTGCTATTGATCCAATTCAAACGGGAAAAACGGCATTAAGTAGAGATCGTGGTATAGATTAACGTTGAAGAGAAAAATCATGCGCAGAACGAAAGGCCACAAGGGCCTTAGCAAATATCTCAGCTATCGTTGGTCTGATTTAAACAGGAAAAACGACATTACGTAAAGAATGATGAACATTAAACAGAAAACTCATGTGTAAAGCCAGAAGGGCCTTAGCGTATATCACGTGGTCCGATTTAAGCGGGAAAAACGGCATTACGTAGAGAATGATTAACGTAGAAGAGAATTTTTATGTAAAGCCAGAAAGGCCTTAGCGATTCAAACGGCTACGTGTAGAGAATGACATCTAGTTGTCATTTCGCACATGCGCAGTTCATAATGCCGTTTTCATATCTTTGTTAATATCGATCGGATTTGAACGTTGAAAATGGTAGATGACAATGTCATCTAGATGGCATGTGCACATGCGCAGTTCAAGGGTTAGTTCTCGCTTGTCACTTTATATCTTCGTTAATATCCCATCAGATGTCTTGAACTAACCATATACAAGATGGCGGAGTCAAAAGGACCTGTCAACTGTCAAGGTTCATTGCTATTGGTCGGAAAGGAATGTGGAAACAAACAGTTGATGTATTCGTTTCGTTTCGTTTCGTTTCGTTACGTTTCGTTACGTTTCATTACGTTTCGTTACGTTTCGTTACGTTTCGTTACGTTTCGGTTACGTTTCGTCACACTTCGTCACGTTTCGTCACGTTTCGATACATTTCGTTACGTTTCGTTTCGTGGACAAAAGGACCTAAGTCTCGGTGGCATGTCACCAGGTGCAAAATGGTCAAAAGGATCTTAGGTAGACAAACGGATAGACAGACAAAAATACAGATAAAAGGACAGGCAGACGGAAAGAGGAGACAAATATCTCCTTAAAATTTATTGATACGAGGATCCAAAAAGACCTAAACATTGAATAATACTTAGAAATCATGTAGAGAACAGTACAGGCCTAAGAACAAAAAACTACTGAAGAAGAAGATGAAGAGTGAAACGTTGAAAGGTTGATATCCGTAGAAATTTATAGAAAAAAGAATGGAAAATCGTAGAAATCTTTAAAGAATACACGCTGCTGCATTACCAAAGGGGCCATAGTTGGTTAGTACAGAAAATGTAATAACCAAGGAGCCTTTACCTTTCTGGATCAATGAATACGGGAAGGTAGCAGTCAAAAGTTCAGTATTTGAGAACAGGTCTAAGAAGTCGTATTGTTCGTATTGTAGTCATACATTATCGTCGTTTCCTTATTACTTACAAGTACAATAAAAATACTCTACGTCCATTGTCGATGGTAAAAAGGTAACAAAATACTCTTCGTCCATTATCGTATGTAAACCTGCGCAGTACGTTATTGTCGTGTCATCGTCTTAATCTTTATTAAAAATAAATACAACAATTACAATATACCATCTTCGTTTGTACTCGATTATTTTCGCATTTAAGATTAACAACCTGGAAAATCATCTGTCAAACATTTATTATTACTGTCTATTTTTTTTTCAAGCTATCAACCTAAAAAATATCGCAGCTATCCAACCATTGTCATCTCTACCAGGTTTTCGTATGTCTATTCAATATTCTTTTTAACCTAAAAATATGGCATCTGTCATCTGTCACTATTAAAAAACGTTTGTACTCACTTTTTTTCGTATATTATTATTTAGTTTCAGTATTTTTGCATCATCTTCTGTCTCGTATGACTCGTTAAATCCAATAAAAAGACCTCATTTATTTTCATAAAGTAATTATTATTGATTGCTTTTATATTTAGCATTTCTGTCCTAAAAATATGACATCAGGCATCCGTCATTATTAAAAACGTTTGTACTCACTTTTTCCGTATATATTTTATTGTTTAATTTCGGTTTTACATCTTAAAAATTATGGCTTCTGTCATTAAAAACCAATAAAAAGATCCCATTCTTAGACATCATCTCTATACCGAAGGTATTTCTTAATTAGAAAGCAATTATCGATTGCTTTTATATTTAGCATTTCTGCCCTAAAAATATGTAATCTGTCATCCGCTACTATTAAAAACGTTTTGTACTCACTTTTTCATATATTATTGTTTAGTTTCAGTATTTTTGCAGCATCTTGTGTCCCGTATGACACGTTAAATCCAGTAAAAATACCCCATTCATTTTCAGAAAGTAATTATTGATTGCTTTTATATTTAGTATTTCTATACATTTCGACCCTAAAAAATATGACATCTGTCAGCCGTCACTATTAAAAACTTTTGTAACTCACTTTTTTCCTCATTATTGGCATTTTCTTGTTTAATTTCGATTTACATCTTCTGTCTTAAAAATATAACATCTGTTATTAAAAATCCAATAAAAAAGGGCCCATTTTTAGACAGCACCTCTGTGCCGAAGGTATTTCTTAATTAGAAAACTATTATCGATTGCTTTTATATTTAGCATTTGTATATATTTTTCGTTTTTCAACCTGAAAATATGACATCTATCATTAAATCCAATAATAAAAATATGATATCTGTCATTAAATCGAATAAAAAAGTACTACTTACATTTTTGTCCTAAAAATATGACATCTGTCATTCATCACTATTCAGTAAAGTTTTCATTTCATACATACTATTTAATAAATCCTTTTTATCACCAAAAATTATGTTAGAAATATCCATTTAATTATTTTGTATCGGTATTTGAAGTTTAGCTGTATATTTCGGTGTTACCATAAATTCTCCTCTGTCCTAAAAATATGCCATCCATCATCAATAAATACATTACCATTTAAAAAAAGTACAATCAAAGTTTAATTTCATACATACTCTTTTAATGGAACCAGTTTTAGTTAACAAAAATTATGTTAAAAATACGTAGTCGATCTAGGTATCTGGCTATTTGAGATTTTACACTCAGTTTTTCATTATTCACTAAGTAGTTAGGTGCAAAGAGACGACTAAAATTAAAATTTTCAACTACTTAGTTACAAACAAACTTACTTACATCTGAAAATAAAGGTTCAGTTCAGAATGAATTATAAATTTTCAAGGTGTTCGGTTTGTATAAAGATAAACGATATCATCGGTTATTTCCTGTCTACAAGTATAGATAACTCAAAATATTAAAACAATATTTTAGTGCTTAATGGTAGGCAACCATTAATACAATGTAAGAGCAAAAGGACATTAATCTTATTAATGGCCCATAGTTAAATGGAACAATCTCTACAATAAAAATTTCTAAAACTGTTTAATCAGTAATTTTCATAGAAAATTCATGATGGTTGTATATACCGAGGGAACAAGAAACACCAAACTATCAATATTATTACATCAATTAAATGGACCAAAAGTAATACTGTATATGTTATTTTCACCGGTAAATGTTTAATTGGTAAAAGAACATACTTGTTAATACCTAATAATAGACCGAAACCGTTAATTCGGTTTCAAAGGAATATTTATATTGTCACATTAGATTAATAACGCATCCACCAATGGTGTGACAGTATGCTCGTAGAGATGTTCACTGTACATTGAACAGATTCCAATTCGAGTACCATTCTCATGAGGCAAATAATATAGATATCTCGTTACAAAGTCTAGATGAGAGACAAGTTAGATATTATTGGACGGCGTTACGAAAAACAAATGGTATTATGTAGAATACGTGACGTAGAATAATATTAAAAAGAAAAATAATACAAAAACCAAAAGAACCTAAGTATTCACTATTATCGAATAGAATTAAACGAGAAAAAATTACATTGTAACGGAAACGAGCCGTAGATTAACGCTGAAGAGAAAAATTAGGCACATTAACTTTGAAGAGAAAAGCCATGTGCAAACCCAG